GAGATTCATTCAACGAGCAGGAGAACCGCGTCGCGTTCCATTACGTGTACAAAATCCGGAGGCCAAGTTCAAGAATCGCAATCATGGTTACTAATTTAAGCAGCTCGAGCACCGACTCTCTCATTTTCTTCGGTAGAGAAAGGAAACCTAACACACCTCCCTTCTTCTCTTCTTCTAATAGAATTTCTTTCACTCAGATTCTCAAGTTAAAGTACGATAATTTTAAGAATTTCCTTCTCGAGGATTCTACAGTCATGCTACTTCAACTTAAAGTGAATCTTTCACACGTTCCAAGTTGTATTCAACACACTCACTGTCCAAAGAATATAAGTACAAAATTAAGTTAACTTCAATCGTTGAAAAATGTGACAAATTATCTCCCATATTTTTAGTATACTTTCCTTAAATTTAAACGACACTTTTAATTAAATTAGTTTTCCAGTACACTTTCCTTAAGTTTAAAAGACGCTTATTAATTAAATTAGTTTTCCAGTACACTTTCCTTAAATTTAAAAGGCACTATTAATTAAATTAGTTTTCCAGTACACTTCCCTTAAATTTAAAAGACACTATTAATTTAATTATTTTCACAACAGTTCAAACGTAAATTTCTTTCCGCATAAAACACAAATCTGTGGTTTAGCAGACAGTGAGAATGTTGAAAGGTAGAATGCGATTTCCCGTTGAACACTGCTGAATCTTCGAGCATGGAGCAAACAAAATGAGAGTGTCGGTTCAGGCGAATCATCGTTCGTAGCACTACAAACGCTTCTTCAGCATATTACGAAAAAACACAGCTACTGAAGATCGAAGGATACTCATAGCAAGTAAGTTCTCTAGTTTTAAGCGTACAGCACACCCGTGAAACGAACAGAGTCAACTTACAAAGCTCTAGCGATGCTTCCGGCCGTAAATGTTACTAGTTTCCATTCCTCAAACGCTGTTAAGTACTCACTAGATGGAAAGAGCGACGAAGAAAATGTAGCAACGACACGTTATCCGCGTCACGAAACTGAAGCAACAGTAAAGAAAGAAACTATCGTAGTTCGCGTTTACAGTGATCGTGTTCTGTTTCAATTCACTTTAATTCACGTCGATTCAGATGCGCATGTACACACACAAAATACACACGTTCCAAAAGCTGGCACACTTTCATAAACTACAGATACAAAAGAAAATTGAATTAAAAACGATGTCAATTCACGTGAACGACAAAAGTCACGAAAAGGGAATCTTTGAAAAGTACGAAAATTCGAAACCGTAAGAAGATAAACTAATTCGTTCGACGAGAACGCGATAGATGTACAAAATATTTCTACTTGGAACGGTCACACTACGAATCGGTAATCCTTCGTTGTTATTAAAATATCAATTTTAATAATAATTGAAATATACAAGGGATGAAATACGGGGAAACGGTATTAATTCTTGATTTTTCGCTTACAAGGGTCGAATCTATGCTGCGCGCGTTAATTTGTCGAGAGATTAAATAAATTTGTTACTTATCGATCGTTTGCAATGCTCGGTGAAAAATTGAAGGGAATGGCCTGCATTCTATATATACGAAAAAAGAGAAAAAGAATAAACAAATGTACGTACGTTATTATTTACTATTGAAGAATTTCACCGAACGGAGAGTAAT